AGACTCAGGTGTACTTAACGATGAACACTAACAGTAACGAATGTAACGATCTTTTAACCTTGATTCTATTATTTAAACCTCAGTCCTGTAGAAATCTATAATTCGTTCGTATCCTGTTTCAGTAAATCACACGAACGAATCATTCAACTGGTGGGCAAAGCTTATGACATTTAATAATTCATGCCGACCGCTGTCATCATACTGACAGACAAAAATGGCTATGACGATAAGTCTTCCCACAAAAACTGTTTGCAAACTCAAAACGCGCTAAGGTAGAGTCTTCCCCTACTTCGACTAAAACAAATCGCTTCCGCTGTCTGCTTCCGATTTCTGACCCTTGAAGAGAGATTTCTATATTCAAGTTATTTATGAAATGCTCAATATTGCTCATAAGTAAAAAGTTGACAATGATTGCTTGTGTACTTTTAATCGCATCGCGTATTCGTTCTGACCTTTCACTGCGTCGACCTTGGGTAAGGTGTTAGGCTAAAGTGCATCTTAAATCAAAACCTAGGGGTTTCTCGGCCTCTAGTTAACGGCCTTCTTAAAGTACACCTTAAAGGTTCGGCAGACTGCACTTGGTTTACAACGTAGTCACTTATTTGCTAAGACTTTTGCCCCTTGTTGCCAAGTTGAAATATGCGTTTTTAGGGTCAAGGCAGCAGTCAGGTGTGACACTCTGCTTCGGTTTCACTTAAGGGGGACTGGTTCTTAATCAACCAAAGGAAATCTCAATCAGAAATGCTTAGCACAAAACCATCGAAGATTTTCTGGACCGCTCAACATTTCCCTGCCATTAGGATGGCTTTTACCTAAACAGTAAATACGTTAGAAGAGCGTGTCTGAAATTAATTATTTAACTAATTAGAGTCTATTTTGTTGTCATGTACAATTTCGGTAGATACAGCTGGAAGATCAGAATTCCTCTACTTAGGAATCATTCATTCGGTGTCTGAAATCAAGTGAAGATGTCTCCAAAAGTGTTTGCGTTTCGAGGGGCTGTATTGCAACATGGGAAAATTAGCCTTTAAAGCAGTTGCGAACATCCCGTTTGTCTTAATATGATTTTATATGACGTTTCCCTGAACGTCTATCGATGGTAGGGAAATCTAGGGTTATTTTATTATGGATAATCACCAAACAATTTTATTTGTTACTCAGTTGAAAAATTTACTTGATTGGTTACGATTCACTAAAGAATACATTTCAGATTCTATATTTCAAAATACTGGAGGACATCTTGTTGCCTTGCCTTTTGCTTTCTCGAAAATCCAATAACCTCTAATTGTTGGTTCTTAGGTGCGGTCCCAGAAACGTCTAACCCAGTATAAGGTCATATGCCATGTACGCTATGTTTACTATTGGTTGCTTCCCTTTGCACAACCGACTTTCAACGTCACGATATTCCTAATCTGTTGATTACAAAGAATTGCGGCCTCCATTGTGAATAAGATGACAACATATAAGACAAATAGAGGATTGATTTATATCTTCCATCCGTATAAATGTGTTGTGATTACCCTTTAGTTGCTAGCATGGCATTCTGTTTGTTTAGTTTAAACTTTCCCTTATGACATCTACAAAACCATTCTAGTTTGTTAATAATAGAGTATTAACACCTTCGGGATAGTAAACTGTCCCCAAGTTGTATTCACACCCCATATTAGGAGCAGTACGTATGAACCATACTGACGCACCTTATTTTCGCTTAACGTAGGAAAACAGCCACTCAGGGCTAAATTTGGCAGTTTTCAACAAAATTCGGTGAAACTTGGTGCCCAAAATAAGCATAGTATCTAAACACCACTAATATATATTAACACGCTAGTGCGAAAAAACATTTCAGCACCCACCGTCGCATCAATAGAGGGCGTAACTGAGTGAAATTCAATAGATTTTAAGTTCAAAACAGCGGAGCTGAATGAAATGTTACAATCTGACGTTTCGGTTGCTACGGCAAATCTTTTTTCAAGGAAGCCCTTAAAAATGGTTGGTCATGGCAACCGAAGAGTTGGAAAATAACACGCTGACTTTTGACTATAAAAGTCACTATATTAACCGTATCCGAACTGAGTTTGGTCAGGAATTCCTGAAATATTCAAAAGGATATGGATAATAAAATTACTTAATGCCACCAAAGTTCCAACGGAAATTCAGTTTGATAGATTTCCCTTTGTTGTCTGATCTGGTAGCAATAAGTCTTATTGGCAATGTCAGAAATCCAAAAGTGCAGCCACGCTTGACTATTAATAAGACCTAAGTAGATTGTATCCACGATGCCTGTTGTAAAGTGGGATGGCCACTACACTCAAAATTTCTGTCATTCAGTTAATCGGACTGGATAGAATAGAGAAGGCGCTGCAATCAAGTTGGATCCTATCATAAGTGTACATTCGCTACGCAGATGATCAAAAAGCATATTGCTTCTGTTTGAGCGACATTCTTAAATAATAGACTATCCAGCACTAAGAAAGCGTTGTTATTTCTACCGGCTTTCTTCGTACAAAGGCGCTGTAATCTTGCCCGTCCATTAACAAAATACACAATGGTGAGTTGGTTCTCACACTGAAACGTCCTTCGACTATCAGTCAAGAATCCTTATGCCTTAAGATATCAGCGGTGTCTCGTGCAGAAAGATGCAGTAATTTTCATCACGCTAGAAACTAAATAGTAATGTGATTTCAGTAGTCTCTTTCTTGTTTCATCTTAATTTTACGTGTTCCTGTTTTTTCCAACCAGCGGATCATCAGCCAGTGGTAATCGTGAATGACAGACCGCCAGTTTTCCTCCCCAACGCAGGAGCTGACAAGTTACCTGTGACAGTACGAGGTAAGTGAATTCCCAGTCTTTGGGTGCTCGAGAATATACGAAAACAGGACCTTTGTGGCTGAGAGTACCAAGCTTTCGATTTATTGCATTTCAACACACTCTAGCAAATTTCGACTCACTGTATAAACAAACCAAATGTGAAGACATATCGTAACTACGACAGTTTCCCTAATATCAAAGCACCGAAAGATGACTCGTGGAACAATGCACTGTAAAGATGGGAAGAATATTTCACTAATTGTTACGGCCAACTAGTGAGTGAGACGTGTGACCCCTATTCAATTAATCACGGTCACTTATTCTGGGTATGTCCCGGCAACCCTAATCCTAGAAGTGACTTTATTTAGGAAATCGTCCAGAATGACTTCCTCGAGATAAACCTTCTTCACAAGAGACTCATTTGGGTCGGTAATTCAACATTACAGTTAATTCTTGGACTTTGAAAGAAATACCCCCTAGTTTGGTTCACGAATCGTTTTTTTGAAAGAATTTTGTTCAAAAAAAGACCAGGTCATGGTCAGTCTGCCCTGAAGCCAGGTCTCCCAGCGTTATTGAATACCTCCGGTTACAAGTTCCGTTGCTGGCTTGTGTAGAGTACGTACCACTCAAACCAAGCGTTTTTGAGTAAATCATTCTGATATGCAGACACCTGTGTGACATGGTAAAGTCAGGGGCTGGCAGCATTCGGTATTCTAGTCCTCCTGATATCATCTAAGATTACCGCTGAGCTTCGGGGGAATTTTAACGGAGGAGAAAACCGTATACGTCTGCACAGAAATGGTGTTCAGGGTGATGAAAAATATGCCCGTCATGTACTGTAAAAACAGTGTAGATTATTCCTGGATGGCAAAGCAAAAAGGAACTTTTTCCGCCGGTCCTACCGCGAAAAGAGGCCATTCTCACTTCTATATTTCTCATTCTAAACAATAGTCCGAAAGAACAGCCATTTAAGCGTAAATAAAGACATAACTAAAAATTATAGCGTGCAAATCTTATAATGCTTTTGTTTGTGTGCAGTCCAGCTGAGCCTCTCGTCTGTGATGCATCTAAGCAACTGAATGCGCTGCACAAGGGTGCCTCATGTTTCAGTCGCTACGATATTCGTGCATTATGTCTGTATATGTATCGCAATATATCGAGTGTCGTACCAAACGAAACATGAAGAGGCATAGTGCAGCATAGTCCGTTGCTTAGAAACATCATAAACGAAAGATTTAGCTGGGTTTCAGGTGAGTTTCTCGAAAAACTAAATTTGTATGCAAATGAGTGCATTTCGCTAATTTCGTGCAATTTGGTTTAAAGTAGAACATAAGGATGACGGAAACTCGGGGACTGCGCCTACCTGATGGATAGATTTAACTATGTTCATCGATTTCATCCTCTAAAATAACAGCTCACAGGAATTAACACTTATTACGTCTGTCTCGTGGACTGGTTTTTAAAGTTTCATCACCAGGTGTGTGCATCCTACAGGAGACCATTTCGGCTATACAGTTGGTCTGATCATTTAGAAACAAATTCAGTTTCCGAATCGCCTGGTACACTGTTATTGTAAAAGCCGTAACGCAACCCAGAGTGATCCATCACTGACTGAAGTAATGATTCTTTGGAGTTATAAATTATGAAATCCGAATTCGGTTTTGTATTCAGGAAGAAGCTTGGTGGATGTGCTAAGCACAGCTAGATTCATCTGATAGACGGTAGAAAGCACTGAGTATTCAGCAATAATTTTGTTCACAATCTGCTGAATCCCTTCATTTATATCAAGCAAACAATTTGTTGTCTACCCTCAGCAACAGGTGCTTATAAGCTTTTGTGAATGCTAGTCTGTACCCCCCCCCCCCCTTGTATTTTCTGTTCTGTATGCGGATTCATTATCAAGTGCCCAGAATTCTCCAGTTTCTCCTGTCACATAATGTGCCACAGTTTGAGTATCTAAAGGTGATTTTGGCTGGAATATGACTAATTAGTCCATTTCTTTCCTCTGTGCAAAAACTGTACTTCTTGCTGATATCATCAAAGAATGAACCCACTACCATGTGGTGTGAATGAAGCAGTGTTCTACGACAAGTTGCTCACAATAAGTGATTAAGCTAGGTTCTTTTATTCGATTGTGAATACCTGTAGTGTAATACGCATCAAAACAACTATTTTTATGTACATTTTTGCAGAAAAGCACCGTTTCAAACCCAAACTTTTTGGAAACCCGCCACCTGGAACTTGCTGCTATCGTCCTCCGCAACTGTTTCCTGGCCATGGTATGGTTCATGGAAAACATGCTTATGCTGTTGTCTCTAGGCAACCACAGGCGAATACGGGTGTTTGGATATATCGCCCTATTCTCCTTCCTCCTTAAGAAGGCCAATTTCGAGGTATGTCGTGAAATGAAGGAGAACCATTTTACTTGGTCACTGTTCGATCAGCTGTCTAAGCAAACTCTCGAAGGCTTTGTGCAAATTTCTACTGAAGCGGATGCTTCCGGTTTGTAACTGTTATGTGCAAGTACATTAAAGTGGCGTAAAAGACCTTCATCATCTCACGGTATTGCCCTGTCGTTGTCTCCCAATTAAATCTCAGCTGATATCTAAAATACTTTTGCCCATACCAAACTTTATCTTTGTCCAGAACTAAACGGACTGCACAATGGATTCTACCGAACACATACACACAAGAATACGTCGTAAGACTTCAGTAGCCCTCAAAGCAGTCACAATTAAAAACAATCAACATCCATATATAATTCGGATTAGACATTGCATATTCATGTCAAGGTTGTCGCTAGTACAGTTAGTACACAGTGCCCTTTTCAAAAGCACTATGAACTCATATGGAACTTGACTTGAAGGAGTGAAAATTAGTGACTCGAAAGTAATGTTTGTAAATAAAAGAAAATAATACTTTGGGGTGTTTTGCGCACCAACAGACATGGCATTAAAACGTTTGCGGGTTCGGTCACATTGGACAACTACTTTTGACTGATTTCTTCAAAGTAGGTTGCCAAAACAACTAAGCTACTTTGCTGAAATTAGGGCGTCTTGAATAATGATAGGTATTCACCTAGGACCTTTTTAGAATATGTTGTAAATTCTCTTAGGCACGTGCCAGTAGAAACCATGGTCTTGAAATGAATTATAAGACTGTTCGATGTCTAATTACGATGTCCTAAATTTTTTTTCTAAATTTTTCGTTTAAATGTGAATTTTGAACGTACCTTGGGATCACTTAGGTTAACACCTCGTTATAGATGAGTTGTCGCCTAAACACAGTGGGATTCTTTTCAAATCGACCCATGGTAATGTGAATTTGAACGTACCTTGGGATCACTTAGGTTAACACCTCGTTATAGATGAGTTGTCGCCTAAACACAGTGGGATTCTTTTCAAATCGACCCATGGTTTTATTGTGACATTCAAGGGAAAATTCCAGGACAGCTAAGATACGATAATTTTAGTTTTTTCTCCTAGGCTTGTATCTTCATCCGACGTTTAGATAAACAGTCCATCTCACTCCCTGTGTGATTCATTTTCATACAAGCAGTGCGCATGGTTTTCCTAAACTTTTATGCTGTGCTCCGTTTTTCAGCCTACCTTTGACATTCACGAACCAACCACTTTTGCAATCACTCTACGTATGCTAATAGAACAAGCAAAATACCGCATCCTGCACGTGAGTTAACAGTTACTTACTGACTGCAACAATTTCGTTTCGGCAAAACTGACGGCTCATCCATGTGACTACACCCAACAAAGCGATGAACTTCCGCCTTTTCTCAGCATGTACCCACCTATGTATCATCCTTTACTTCTAGGCATCCGGTGATGTTGTACCAAAACTTCGCCAAATGTGGAATCATGAGAAATTCCAGTTAACAGAGTTCTATTCTCGGCCACGTTATCCGAGTGTGTGCAGTCGTCTGGTGAACGAAACGAAGGACCTTATGAGTTGCATTTTGCACCAAATAACAAGCACTATTGTGAGTGACACGGCCATTTTATCTTCTAGTGTGTACCCAGTTTTATTCACTAAAGTTTGGTGACCGAGTGGCTGACGAGGTTCTGTTTGAGAGAATCTAGGTCGCCATAATAAAAACTGATAGATTAATCCAGAAGTAACTTGGCAAAACCTGGCCAGACCTTGTAAAGTTGACTCGAAACCAGAATAGCTGGACCAACAACCATATTTTTATGAGTTAGCACCCGATTAGCACCAGCGCTTGTGATAGAGCGTATAATAGTATCAGCTAGGTGTTCTGAGTGTTGTTGAAACACTCTTTATGATAGGTAAGCCAAAAAGTGCATGGTAATAGTCGAAACTTTACTATATTACTACAATTCTTAACTTTCAATGAGCTATCGATATATGCTTGGCTATGTTTCTTTTCAAAGCACTTGGTCAGATCAGAGGACTGCCGTTGGACCAATCCATGCCGCTCAAAATGGTAACAAATTGTAACATCGATAGTATCCAAAATCCCAAAATCCAATCAGTTTGTCAAAACTCATCGGTCTGCAGTACGTAGAATATTTGACGTATTCGTGGAAGCCCCGCTGAATGGCACGTGAATCGTAAGCCAGTAATTGCAAAGATTTACCAGTAATATGCGATAATTCAAGTATAAAAAGATATGAAAAGGGATAGAAATCTCTAATTGTGATTATTTCCGTCTCACTTATTCCACGAAATGATGGGGGTGGTTGGTTGATGGTTGATGGTTGATGATACCTTTTTGAATGCGGCTGTTGGCGAAAATGAGCAGGGTTTGAATACTTGTTCATCCAGTTCCGAAATAATACAAGTAAAGGAAGCATTCAAAGGCTTAGAAGGCACGGTCAGAATTCTGTCCGCTTCCTTGAACCAGGTAAAGGCAAATCCTCCACTTCGATTGATCGGCGCAGTTCAGTTGAACAAACCACGACGATTTTCCAAAAACTTTTTCTAACCTAATATACTTCTATTTTGAGACATGTCCTCCCTGGCTGATTCGTTAGTAAGCCTAATTGATCATTCTAGGTTATCCGTGCATTTTTAAAAATTTTTGTTACATCGAGTGTGAGCTCTGTGCCATAGAATGCGGTAAAAATTAACGATATCAGCATATCTGTATGTTGCAAGCATTGGTCTCCCGGTCATTTTGCGTTTGAATTGTTAGAAGAGGACATTTTTTAAACACGGATTTGAGATTGGCGTCGGGACTGAATCTAGTGGACTTGTTCATTACATCCTAAATGAGGTCGGTTCCGTCTGGCCATCGCTTTGGTCATTGTCGAATCTCAATAAATAGTCACATTTCAAGTTGTTGGCCTTTTTGTAGAAAGGTTAAAAATATAATCTCTGGACAAAACCACAAAAGTTACGTTAGGTTTGATCATTCCTCGATCCCACTCCAACTATTTCTCTCTGGTGCATACAAACTAAGCAGCGGTGTACAGATAATACCAGTTAACGAGGTCATGTGACATTCAGCTTTCATTATTCAGGGTTATTGCCCACACTGATTGACCAAAATTATTTACCGGTGATTTATCGTTAGGCGTGGCATTTAGTTAGTTTTCTCTGTCCAGACAATTTACATTTTTTTCTCCAGCCCCAGCAAGGTCTGCTTTCACCTCAGTGTCAATGGGGTATCCGGGCCCTCGGATTCACGATGCAGTACTATCCCGAAGGATATTTCTTCGAATTTGAGAAGGTAGGTTCCCTCACCAAGTTATCCAGGTTTGAAATGAGGAAGAATTAAATAGTATCTGACTGGCCCATCCACAGGCATTTCTCGAATGTATGTCGAATTAGCTACTACACACATTACATATATATATATATATATATCACTTCTAATCGTAGGTATACTTTTTGCGTCACTTTTATTGCTATTCATGTACAGCACGCACTGTACGAGAATAGCTTTTCTACAACTGTACACCTCAGCAATTTTTCAGGATGGCTAAATAGTCCTGACTGGCAGCATCATATAGTCCCAGCTGTTCGGATTTTCATGGCACGCAATCATATCCTATGAGGAGGACACACATGTATCGAAAATAGTTTCTCTCACAATTGGTTATAAAAACGGATGTTTTTCTGATGTTGCATTAGATTTTGAAACCCCCTTATGTCCCTCTTGTGAATACAATTCTGTCCCGAACAGTCTGGATTCTGACAGTTTGGAATCCCTTAGAATCTTCGAAATCCATTTCAAACTGATAGAGTCCACGCGATCCATCTAGCACACTTTTACGTATAGCAGAATAGTAGAATCATAGAATAGTAAAGTCTGAATATCAAACACAAGCTTGAGTCAATTATGCTAGAAGCCAGAAATGCCCCACCTGAAATAGAATCCAGAAACAGAAAGTGTTACCACACATCGCATTTGTCAGTCGCGTTAGCTGAAATCCAGCCCAGTACCATTGAGCCTATTATGAGTCAGAAAAACTTTACAACATGAGATGGGTTTGAGATGGAACTATCATCTCGTGGACATTTCAACTATACAACTCTCGCCGAAATGCGAAAAAAGATTCTATAATATGGTAATCTGAAATCATCTCGCTGAAATTCCATACAGCGCAGAAACTAGTGGGCGGTATCAAGTGAAAAAAGTCCCCAAATCTAAGGCACAATGACCCTGTGGAATGATTTTTGGCCATGTTAGTCCGTTTATTGTGCCTCTTCAAATCTACTGGGTGTCCTTGATTTATACAAAGATTTATGCAGAGATTCCAATAACATCCTCAAAAACTGAAATGTCTCTTACTAACTGATTCGAAACTGGGGTGTTTTACTGTACCAAACGTTGGCGACCCGGTTGGGCCTAGATTAATTTTTGGAACTGAGATTAGATTGTTGAAGTGCCCGAATCGGTCGTCAACCATTTTATACTCGTTGTAAGTATTTTCTTGGCATAACACTATTTATAAAGTTAATATAAATCCTCTGACAGCCTACTGCTGTTCTCAGTTAGGAACCTCCGTCCAGCTTACCTTCCACTTGAAAGTCAGATTACCACCATCTCGACTTCCAAGGGGCTGAACAACACCTGTGACATAAAGTAGAATAGAAGTCTGATGGAGTTCCGGGGGTTAGACTTAGGTGATGAAATCCAAGAAAGGTCGAATCGCCGGAAGACAATCAGTGAATTTGAAAAGGAAAGTACTCCAACATATGAAACCGAAACATGATTCGGCTTTTGTACGGTACATTTGCTTTAATTATGCCATAAGAGAAATCCAGCTGGGAATCGTTTTAGCCTAATATTGAAAACCAATTGCCCATGATCTGTATACTTCTAGTGGGAATGTGTTTCGACGCACTGTACTTCATCGTGTCGAATCCGTTGGATAGTTGTGATCAATATGTACAAAGGCTTGGAAAAAAATCTTTGCTACGGTTGAAAATATCTAAATGTCAAAACAGAACTCTGAATCTTGACTGAGACAGATGTAGCAAAAGGTGTGGACCAGTCAATCAACCAGTCAATCAAATATTCTATGAAATTATGTTGAATAGATATCCAGACAAGATTCTGACAGAAATCCGGTAGAGACATCTGTAAATCCCCGTATTTTGAAGTTGTCAATTAAGCCCGTCGAGACAAAGCAGATAGGTACCTATTAGTATGCAAATTATGATGGGCTCGAAAGCAGCATCTTTTCCGATCAGCTGATTTCTAACTAGTAAGAATAACACTTGAATTTCGAGCAATTAGTGACGTTCATATTTGGACAATCAACCCAACAGCTACAGGAATCCAAAAGTTAGCACAAATGTGTGATCCCTGCGAGAGTAACACCCAGCAAACTTAGTTGGTGTCAACTATACCTTAATTCTGATCAAAAAACTTTGTATGCGAGGTCTCACGTGCTTGATCGGGAATATGAGTGAGTTTCCGGGTAAAGAACAGTTGGCGCCTGTCATCTTCGCATATGTCACCACAATCGTCATCTTGTGACCAGTCCTTGAGCTCGCCAGCTGTTGTACCTTTTACTCTCTAGCTATCAGAAGACTGATTTTCCTAACGAGTATATATTTTTAAGAAAATTATGCTAACCACCAAACTTGTCCACCGTCGATAGGTAGGTAATAATCTAATCTGCGCAGACAAAAACGCTTTCCTGTGTCCAGAGGTGTATAAGTTGAACAACTCTCAGACTACTATCGTGAATCTTCCTATTGTCCGTCACAAACTATATATAAACACAAAAATCATGAGTAGATCTAGTTCGCGATGAGTTCTTGTGAACTCTTGACAAAATGTTGGTGAGCCGCGGTGTCAAAAATATTATTTCTGCTTAGCACTGGATAGGCACTAGACTGCGGTTTTTCGATTCCTCAAGTCTTCGGATATTCTAATACTGCAGTGACTAGATTTTCGGTCAACGGTGATTAGCAGAACAACATGATGGTTTAAAAAACAGGCCACAGTTTCAAGAGTGATGAGTCTACGCCTTTTCCACTATACTAGTTGTTTATTCCTAAATGGGCAACATCGCTCATGCTCGCACAATTCTTGAAGGATGACACTGCGGTTGATTAATTAACTGATTGAAGATCGCGATTATGTCGTGAGTCCTGGCAAGTTGAAGAAGACCTCCAAGCAGCTACACGAAATATCTATGGGTTTTTTTGTAAATACCTAAAGAGAACTGAGCAGGAATCGGTAGTACCTGGAGGGTCTATCAGCGGGGATTTGGTGGCTCAAATTCATTTAACTTAGCCAAAAAAAAGTTTGGGAGTTGTCCATGATTTGTTGCTTGAGAGATATTACAATCTTTGGAACAACCTTGGTAAATCAAGAGAGAACTCTGATTGGTGATGGAACAGAGTTCATTACGGCACATTAAAGTAAACGCCATCAGTACTCGGAAGGATGCAGGATTGTCAACACTTGACTAGTGTTATGTTCACTTTACCGCTTATTCGGTGAATGGCCAGCCGAACATCAAATGGAAAAAAATGAAAATCGCGAAGATAAGCAACATTGTTTTAGCGTTAGTTTGAAGTCAATTTCTGTGACACTGCTTTTTATACAAAATACTTGCGTAAATTCGTTAAATAAATACACTTCGCGATGTTATATATTCGATTCTAATTCTGGCCTCCAGTTTCTGGTTCATGGCATGAATAGTCGGACAGACCTAAAAACAAGAGGGTTCAATGGGGAAATCGACACACTTTCCATAACAGAGATTTACCTGAAGTTAAACCCACCTATGAGTTTCAAGCTACAACTGTCTGAATTAAACAAATATGGAAGCTTAAAAACATCATAAACGGGAGATTCAACGGGGTTCAAGGTGAGTCTCTCGGAAAACCTAATTTGTTTGCAATTGAGTGTACTTCGCTAACTTGGTACTATTTAAATTAAAGTAGAATATAAGGTTGAGTGACACTAGCGCACTGTGCCTACTTGATGAGCCCCAAGAAGGGCAAAACCCATGGTGGGGGGTCCAGGAATTTTCAGCAACCTTATGAGTGGTGTATCGCGCCTATAAACATGAAAACATTTTACAGCTTGGTGATCGCGGGTTCTAATGAATCTTGATTCACCAATTTGACCTGATGCACCATCAACATAGGAGTCTTCAAGATACGATTAACGACTGAAGACGACATCTGGATGTTAAATGAATACTTCCCAAGAATTTGACGAATTCTCCAAGCCTTTGCGATTTCAAGGGTCATTTCTATCTAGTTCAATCCAGAAAAACGGACAAATGAATTGGCTTAAAAAATGCCCATGTTCTGCCAGCTTTAAGTGGGATCCGATTGTTAATCCACTGAATGTTTTTGTCTGAACACGGGCCTTGGGAATTTTTGTGTGCAGATCAAGGTACTCAGAAGAAACTCGTCCTGGTTCGAAATATAAAAAAAACAAACCACGAAGAGACTGGACCTTACCGTGGTGTGACGGTTTGCGCACCTCAGCGATCCATTGAGCTATACTGGAGAGTGTCCCGCGACACAAACAGAGTCTCTCATACCAGGTTGGTCAATGGTTAGAGGTCTGACGAACACAGTCTCCTGGCCCTCCAGGTTGGGGGTTGGAACATGTGGCGACTTGTTCCGTAGAAATGGTAATGCATTTGCATTTCCCGCCAAACACCGCTGCCTTGCGGTTAGGCTTTTGAGCCAAAGGCTTTGGTTGAGGACCCTAATCGTCCTCCTGTCTAGGTGTGGGCGCCCTGGCAGTATCCCAGCCCACGTACAACCATGAATTGCACACACGCAAATAAACTCATGCCACATCGGCCGTCGCGTGGTGCCATCAGCCGGGTCGCCTTACTTGCTGCATACAGCAGGGCGGGTAAGCGAAAACAGGCTACTGCTGACGCCTCCCTTCTTTCTCCTTCACATACTTTTTCTTCCCCCTCTCCCCACCCCATTAATAACTCTCTCCTTGTAGGCCCAGCACTTAGGACTGATGACTCCGTTCGTCATGCATCGGTTTTGCATGCAGCATCTGCTCGTCGCATGGTGCCGACATCTTCAGGAATCTCCAAATCAGTCCTCAAGCCTCGACA